TTAATAATACATTATCCGTGAAGCAATAGGCCTTCAAAGTGTGAAAATCGGTAATTATAAATCATCGTTAACTTCGAGAAAGAACTAGCCCTTACTAGAACTTACAGACCATCCCGATCGAAGTTTGATCTTAATCAGTCTCCAGTCCTTTTCGGTTGATCTTAACACAGGGAGACCAAACGAATATTTTCAATGAAAAATTGGTGGATTTTGGAGTTACTGAATTTCCCTATTTCATTATGACGTCACAGTATGTTTACATGCAAAAAATAAGTGGAAATTTTGACCCATTAACATTCTCCGCAAAAATAGAACTTTTGTATATGGTGTGTTTTGATATATATCATTTGTGGCGTCTATTAAAATGATGAAACAACGGCCATGTACGAACAAGAACATTTTACTACAGGAATCAAAACACTAAACTATGAATAAATTACTACGTAAATTGTACGACGGAAATTCACTAGGGACATGTAAAACAAAAATTGCAAATTACAAAACTACTGAGATATGACGAACAGAGAACAATACTTCAAAAACTCATTAATTATTCATGAGGTATTCAGCCAATTCCTGATTGTAATTTGTACCACGTGAAGTAACTTGAAACCAGAGGAAGTACTCGTACCTTGTGTTCTACCTTATTTCCAGTTACTTCTACCTTTTTCAAGTTACTTCTACATTATTTCAAGTTATTTCTACCTTATTTCCAGTTACTTCTACCATGTTTCCAACTACTACTAGCTAATGATAATCAAATTATTGGAAATAATCAGTTTAACATTAATTTAGTGAAAAAAGGTCCTTGATACATGACTCCCTCCCTATATGCGCCGTCTTATATCATTACACCACCGAGTTTCTGATGCGATTCCTCTTATACTATCTTATACTTATAAATCTTATGGATTAGGCTCATTAGGAATGCCACGAATAGCAGACAAAGACAATTTGAATAGCTTTTGTTTCAGAAAGCCGTCCGGGAATTGAAGAACAACAAACGGTGCTTCATGTATTCAAAATTATGAAAACTGAAAACCTTARTGGAGATGCAATAAATCAATATATTTCTGTTATATGTATTTCCTTCGCTTTTTCCCCTCCCGAATAATTAATGAGTTTTTGAAGTCGTTCAAAGGCCTCCAATTCGGACTTGACGGGATTTCAAACGCCTCGGACTGGAACTAATTGCGCGGACTTTGAAACCCCGTCAAGTCCTCATTGTCGGCCTTTAATTAAGGAATAAAAGACGAAATTCCGTGTTTGATACTCTGATCAAAACACACGGGATGTAGGGAGAGCACGAGAGAAGCGTAGGAAACCACGACGCGTAGCGGAGTGGTTTCCAGCTTTTCGAGTGCTCTCCCTACATCCCAAGTGTTTTGATCAGAGTATCAAACACGGAATTTCGTCTTTTATTTCTTTTCTAAAATTAAAAGAATACGAAAATTGTAAAGAATTCTGACTTTTGATACGATATGAAACGATGAATTCTCCTTACATTGCAGTTGTCTGCAGCTTCTGTAG